ACTTACTTACGTACTACTACTACTAACTACTATACTATATATATATATATATATATATATATATATATATATCTAGTATATATATATATATATATATATATATATACTCGTTAATATATATATATATATATATATATATATACTCGTTATTTAGCTTAGTGGTGGCCTGTAAAATTGAAAAAATCAATCCAGGCTGATGATAAATTTAAAAAAGTATGCAGGACAATATTTTGCGATGGCTTTTATACTAGAAACAAATTTTGTCTTTCAACGGTGCTGAGTAATTGGGGGGTTTCAATAATGTGTTACACGTGTTCATAATAAGTGTACACTCATTTCAAAACATATGGCGTGTGCTTGACGATAGTTAATGTTGTTTATTGATCGTGGATATAGGCTATAAATTGACATTTAGTTCGGGGATTTCTTTTGCGCGGTGCAATCGTAAATTACAAGAAGATGCACAGGTCGTATTACGATCAGAGGGTCGCGTCTCTGCTTGGATTATGTTCTAAGCAAATATCGAATGCTATATTTTAAGTTTGATTTTACAAGCTGTTCCATTTTTTTACAAGGAATGAAACATGATGGAAATTGAAAGCCAACTTAAATACACGACACAACCACAACTGTGCTCATTCAATAATAATAATAAATATAGTATTTCTATCATCATCATTTGCTTCATTTTTGTAATTTTTTTTGAGACTACACACTTACATTCGAGACTCGAGAGAGTTTTGATTTCTGCACTCTTATAATGAAGATAAAAATTTGTGACGTGACCTTTAAGTTATACATAGTCCAGGATTTCATAACAGGATTTGAAGGTCGTGTAAATACTAAATAAATACACATTCTCTCAAATTTGTACATACGTGATAGTTGATAGTTGATACTCTCGTCAACGCCTTGTGTCAAATGTCAACTGTTTTAAAAGTCAATCATAAATACTACATAGCCTCCGCCCTCCTGCGGTGAGAAAAAGCTCCTGCAATGGTCAAATTTATTTTTGTATTTTGTATAAAAAACTAAAATGATAATAAACAAACAGACAAAACATCTCCGCGGATGGACACCTCTGTGTAATATAGGCCTCCCAAGCATATGATAGCAACTACACATCGTATATAATATGGCGGCTAAAAAGTCCTTAAGACTGATTGGTATGTGTGATCTGGAGTAAACTGGTGCCTGCTTTACATTTATTACAAGGTGGCATTCGCGTAACAATCTGAGTGGGGTATTAATAAATTGTAACAGCTCAACGACCATCTACGAATCACCAGTGACGTTTTAATCGAGTTAGAGTTAGGTCGGTGCAGATGTTGTGTGTAGTATCTGCTTGCCTTATATATCTCACTGTATCAGTAAAGTTAGCTTCTCTGCAGACTTATCGAGTATACCAAAACACCAAAAATCAAGGAATGTGTGAAGGAACAGTCACACACTTAATAGATTGTATTTCACCAAGAATCAAAGGACATAACTCTTGGCATGTATTAGTCACCAGTGTTAGGCGTCAAGAAGGCTATTTCTATCGAATTCCGGTTCTGCAACCATTGACATACTTGCTAAATTTAATATGAAACACGCACTGGGTTTTAAAACCACGTAGAAGGCTCGTGTTAATATTGATTCAATCATGAGGCACCTCTTTCCTGTGAAATGCAATGTTCGCAAATGCCAAAATCACGACACACACACATACTACGTACAACAAGCAGCTCAATAGTTACTTCTAGGATAGGGAGGGTGCTTTTAACCGCGAGATCGACTTTCAAAGTAGAATGTCTGAGTCAGGAAAAAGAATGTGTGTTGCAACGACGTCTTTTTGACAGTAAAAATCCGTTCGGCGAGTTTGCTTGTGCCTGTTCCCCGATACTATTGTCGACAGATGTTGCCATGAGATTTCCTAGGTTGAATTGTATCGCAACTTCTAGCTACCTTTCACTATACTCCTATGTATATGACGGCAACAGTTGTAGTGTATGGCAGTACGCTATTTATTCCAAATATAAGTACTAATATATATATATATATATATATATATATATATATATATATATATATATGTGTGTGTGTGTGTGTGTGTGTGTGTGTATACATATATATATAAAGTTATATGTATGTGTATATATATGAGCGTTCTCGCAGTCTAGATTGGTAGCTGGTTTTCAGATAACAATTCAGTCTCGTCAGTACGGGTCTCCTTCACCAGTATTGTAATAAATTTGTAATGTAGATGTAGTTCATAACAATGGCTTTATAAGTATGGAAAAAGTCGTAGAGAGTGCCCGCAAAAGGAATGCGCATGTACGTGAGATTGTAAGTCGGAGGTTCCGAATACAAAAGTCACAAATATATCGGTTGTTTTAAGGCTTGATTATGTTGGTTTGATACCACGAGGCTGTGAGTGTTTACAGCAGCGTATGTATTCGCTAATTGTATAGTCTATGTACACGCATTCTCTGTAATAAAATCCATATTTGTTGCTTTTAGTTCGATTGGCAAGACATTTAATTAAGCTTTACGGCACATTTTCAACAGACATTGGGGTCAATCTCACCGACAGCGTCTTCCGTGGACTGTACCGAGGGAAACAGTCACATCCAGGTATGTTTTCTTGCAACTGGTGCCATACGATGCGACGCGCTTTATTATTTTATCGACAGTTTATGAACTTCATAGCAGAATTAGCGGTTTGCCTTCTATTGTCTAAACTATTTCTCTGTCTAGACCATTAAGCGTACACGTGCAATGATATACTGGTTTACTCGCTATCGTAAAAAGAGTGAACATTACCGGTGAAGTATGTGCGTTTTCTGAGCCTTCTGCTGCATGAGCAACGGTTGCAATGTTGTTGTATCGGTGTTAGTGGCTATCATAATATTCTACTCTTGTATTTCAAAAACATCTGCATCGCATCAGACACGGCGTATCTTGCTGCTGTCGCCAGTCAACGCTTTGCATTGGATATGGAAAGGAACATAATTAGAGTCCATAGTTAAAAATATTCATTCTTTTTCGAGCAATCCATCCTGCGCACATGTATTTGTTGATTCTCATTATTTCAAGGTTGCTCTTAGATGATTTTGAGGCGATGATGCAACGGGCAAGGACCGCAGGTGTAGTGCATATGATTGTGACTGGCGGATCTGTCTCTGATGCGAAGAAAGCCTTGGAACTGGCCAAAACTAATGGTTTGTGGAAGTTGTAGTCTATAATTCTAGCTAACTTTGGATTGCGGTGACACTCATTCACGTGTCTGTTGAAAATGTCTTCACTCGTTTGTGCTGGCAGAACTCAATACATTTGTCTGCGGTTTCTGCCCGAAAGTGTCTTGCCATATAATGTGAGTGATTTACAGTGAATGGAGGTATACTCTATATGAGATCAAACTGACTCGTGAAATATCCTCTGAAATTGACCTTAAATTCAAAACGGAGCGCGAGTTCGATCACATTGAAGTTTACCTAACCAATATTTTGTAGATATGTTGACGTGCACAGTTGGATGCCATCCAACACGATGCTCGGAATTCTTAAAGGATGGGGATGGCGAATCTGGAGGCCCGGAACGATACTATCAACAACTCGAAGAATTAATAAAGGCGGGCGGTACAAAGGTGGTCGCTATTGGAGAATGCGGGCTTGGTACGTTCTCCGGTTTCATATTACGACACTGGAGTATAGTTGATTTTATTTCAAATTTAACCATCCATTAGATTTAATGTCCGTGTCTTGTACCTGTCTGCAGTCACTTGTGGAATGTATATAATACTATATCACTTGAATGTGTGAGACTGGCTTTGCTATACTTAATGTAATTAACATGTCACTTGATACATGCAGATTATGATCGACTACATTTCTGTCCGAAAGAAACGCAATTGGTATACTTTGAAAAGCAAATCGAATTGGCAGTTAATTCCGGATTGCCGATGTTTCTCCACTGTCGAGCTGCCCACGCAGATTTTCTCGGTGAGTCATTAAAACAGGACAGTACAAGTTTCACTTGAGATATGAGCTTGACAAATTCAACTACATACTCATCCCGCCCAGAAGCAATTTAAATATAAATCTAGTTGTGTGGTATGGCTGTATCTACGTCGGCCACGATCAAAGCCTTTCCCTGCCAGAAATAATCAATGAACCTGCCTGCGAAGGTAGCAGTTGTAAATCACCTTTAATCCCGGTCTTCAACACTGTGACATTGATGCAAGCACAACGAGGAGGTGTCGTCTGTTGTGACTTTCTAGCTTAATCACCATTACTATCACCCTAGCTCAATTGAACTGCGGATTGTCCACTCATGCATCATTTCAGATATCATGCGCCGACACCACGGGAGGATCAGCGGGGGAGTGGTTCATTCTTTCGATGGTACAGAAGTAGAAGCCGCAGAGTTCATCAAGATGGGTCTGTTTATTGGAATTAACGGTTGGTATGTGCTCAGTGTTATTTCTATCGAATCTTGCTCAGTATGCGCTCCTGGTGCCAGTTTTCTAATGTGACAGGCGTTAGCAAGTTTCTGCTGCCGTTGATCTCATACTTATATCTTTCAAAGTGACTGTTAAAGAACTGTATTCTCCCGTTAGCTCAAATTATAATATTTTGTTGTCTACAATGTGGTGGAAAGTATACCTATATCCGCAAGCACCAGCCATGCCCGGGGCTGTATATGTACCTCATACGTTATTTTCCGTCATGTTTGAGCATGTTTCTCAACGGTCTCTCACTCAACCCCTCTCCTACCTTAGCTCCTTGAAGACACCCGAGAGTTTGACAGTATTGAAGAGCATTCCTGTAGAGAAGCTAATGATTGAAACGGACGCTCCCTGGTGCGATATTCGAAGGACTCACGCAAGTTTTGAGCACACGGATGTATCAAGTCTGCCCGTACAAAAGAAAAAAGAGCGGTGGGAACATGGTTGCATGATCAAAGGCAGGAATGAACCTTGCACGTTGAGGTGAGTTCTAGTCGTCAATAGTTGCTCATTTTGCCACAAAATATGTGTAACAGCAACTCTCAGATACTATTTGAGATGTAAAGTGTCAATCGTCGTGTCAAGTGGCTTGGCTTTCTGCACAGTGATCGCAGCGCAAATACTAGAGGCTATATGAATTATTTTGAACATATATGTGCTGTTCCAGGTTCATCAATATTTGTTCCCACTTAATAGGTATACAGCTATCAAGAGTATCAGCCACCATTAGCTATTGTGCTCAATTTGTTAATCTCTTATTGTATACTAAAAGTACATGATGCAAGTATGATGCCAACACCGGCTATGGGTACAAGCTGTAACTCGAGACCACATATATACCAGAGTTGATCGGCGTGTTTCCGCATAGTACGAGTTTTTTTATATAGATGCATGTCAAGCGTGCGATATCTGGTCGTCAATTTTGCTCTCAGTCGCCTAATAAACTCCTTTCGCGTTGAACCTCTTCACATAGGAATGTGTTGGAAGTAGTTGCATCAGTAAAAGGTCTGGATATCTTTGACGCTGCAGAGTGCATCTTCAAGACCACGAACGATTTGTTTTTCCCTGCTGAAGCCAAGAAATGATATCAGATACATCAAGAATATTTCCACTGAATAAACAGACGGATATCCTTCCCTCCCGCGCTTCTGTGAGTACCTCTCTATTACTGATCTACCATCATCTTGGGTCCCATCGACCCCTGACCTTACATCTGACGCATTGTTAGTGCGTAGTCCATATCAATCAATATATCAGTTACCACTACTGTTCACTCATCATCCCGAGTCAGTTTTACTGAACTAAGATTCAGCCCCTGTGTTTGTGGATTGTCAGATATTTCCGGTGTCTATATATAAGTAGAGTATACGGTATAAATCATTCGGCCAACTCACCACCCCTTCAAGCGAGAAATTTGCGTGTCGCCAGCTCCTTCAGGCAGGATTAGATAGTGTGGCCCACATGCTTAGTTATGTGAAAAGCATCTCCATAATACTAGCACACGATTATTGTGCAACCGCAAAATCTTCGTGATATCTATTATCCTCACAGGCATCGAATCATCTCGCTCCTTTTGAAATCTGACTTAGGTTTCACTGTTACATATTTTGTACAGATAGACTTTACCTGAAACGAGATAGCCTTTATCTGAAAGGAGATAGACTTTATCTGAAACGAATGAGTTATTTATTTGTTAGCACCTCCTAACGAACGATATCAGTATACTATATTTATGCCCGCTGGGCACTTAAATTGCGTCTACTGAACTAATATACTATACAATGCCAGTGATCCTTTGTATGCTTTGCGTAGTTTGTTTGTATGAGTTGTTTCATACTCGCTATCGGTGTATAGAATTTTTAGAAAGCAAGTTTGATATTCTGAACTTTAACATGCCAATTTTCATGCTCCATATGATGCTGCGCGACCCTTTGTTCCCTCGATGCACTCAGAAATAATTCAGAGTTATGACAAGAAGCGGCCACTGAACCTTAAGAATCAAAAACTATCTGAACCGTTTACGATCTTGCTACCGTAGTGAATCAGAACGTAGATTTCCTGTGGCGCCTCCCTTAATTCCAGAGGCTAAGAGTACGTACAACCGCATAAAGCAGCACACATATGGTATGGTTCCCCAATTGCAACTGCCGATGTGCAGAATTGTGAGAGAACGAGAGATACTAAGAAAAAAACAGCTCCTTCCTAGCTGGAGACGGTTGTTGGCAACATTGTCGGCAGCGAAAATACCCAAACCGGTTCTTCCCGTACCTTTAAAATCCTTAAAATGCAGTTTGCACAGTACAAGCAACAATAAGTTGTAATAGCCTCCTACTTTCATCTCGGTGTTCACATACCAGTAGTCCAATTTCTATTTATTACGAAAGTGGATCCTTGACATAAAAAGTAAATATTGTATGTTTTTCTTAATTAAAAAAGTGAATTTCGGCTTGAATAACTGGCACCCGACACACAGCCAGCACTGCTACCTCTCCCCTCTATATCAACTGCAAAAGGACGCTGCAATATAGATTGCGACACCGGGATACTTGTTTGTGCTAAATGTCCCAACTCGATACAATTGCAAAGGTTTGCCCGCGATCACTCATACTAGCATCATTGCCTTAACGTCTAGCATTCTCGTAGTTGGCCTTAAACCATTCACAGGTTTCTTTCACAGCTTCCTCGAAGGGTGTGAACTCGAAAGGCTTGCCATATAGTTTCTTGAACTTGTCACTGTTAGCTGTTTTCTTGAATTGACCGTCATTCTTGGTTGTGTCGTACTTCACGTTCTCCACAGGGTAACCCATACCCCGAGCTACAGCCAAAGCAGCATCCTTAATACTTACCTCATCCTCTTCAGGAACAGATAAGATGATGGGCTTGGGGTCGTCATACTCGCGCAAAGTCCAGATAAACAATTTTGCCAGGTCATCGTTATAAATGAACTGACGCAGAGGCGATCCAGTTCCCCATACAACGAAATCAGTGTTGTCCCGCATCGCAAGATAGCATTTGTGAATGAGACCCGGAATCACGTGACCATCGTCCATGTTAAAGTTGTCGTCGTGTCCAAAGATATTTGTCGGGATGACGGTCGTAAAGTTACAGCCGTACTGTTCCGCATAAAGGCGTGTCTGCACCTCGACCATACGCTTGGCATAAGCGTAACCCTCGTTGGAGTGATGTGGAGGCCCATTGTGTACCATGGTCTCGTCGATGGGGTATGTTGTCTTGTCTGGAAAGATGCACGTAGACAGGCAGCTGATGAGTTTCTGAACGTCGACCTCCTTGCTACAGCGGATGATGTTGTCGTTCATGGCCTGGTTCTTCGTGTAGAATTCAGCGTTGTACTTTAGGTTCTTGAACAAGCCTCCAACCATTGCCGCAAGGTGTATAACTTGGGTAGGTTTGTATTTCTCAAACATCGCTTTGGTTGATTCATAGTCTGTAAGATCAGCGTCCTTACTTCTTACGTAAATCCAGGTTTCGCCCGCTTTCTTTCCGAACTCACTATCTACCGGCGCCGTTTCAAGAACTTTACGGATGGCACTCCCAACTAGTCCTGTACCGCCTGTCACAAGGACGACATTGCTTTCTTGTGTCATTGTACTATGGAATTGTGGTGATGTATAGTAGATTGCTGCCAATACGAAAATATGGCCGTATGAAACCGTCGTTAAAATACTGCAGTATGTATATGAAATATACTTTGGAAAGTCTGTTGTTTGTTGGTGGTCGTTTTTATTTAACTTTTTATGTTGCCAAGCATGTATGGAGAAAGTGAACGGTATCTGAGGAAAAAGCTCACAAATACAACCCTACAATAGATTTGCAGACGGCATAGGGACACAGGGTTTCACTCCTGGTTACCAAATTTCCGAAATTCGGGAAACGACATTCGGGATACGCATTTTTGTCTTACGTTTTGAATTTCTATGTCCATTGTCCCGACGTCCAATACTTGCTGTAGACTACTACTGCAGGAACGAAAAAAAGTCGTATTACAGTATAAGGGAGTCGGACGGACTGGTCCGAAATGCTTTTTTTTTTTTAGAAAACCCCAGAAACCAAAAAACCATATTTCAGATTACCTTGCAACAAAGAGACGAATGCTTGATTCTATTAATTTTACAAGATGGCAGATTGGCAATAGCATTATATTAACCAATGGTAAATTTCATAATGCTTGACTATTGACTCTAGCAGTAGTGTGAGTCGGGTAGTTTTATAGTTTATATCCAATCGGGTTGGTAGTCGTCCATTGCTGGCCGGTACGGACCGTTTCCACAGAATTTTTGCCAGTTTTTAGGGCAAGGTTTTTTAATTTTGACAGGCGCTCTGCCCTCTGGTCGGATCACGGATAGAGTTAGATTTTTTTTTCAATAGGCCCATAGCCTTCTCTTGTCTAATTCTCAGGAGGCGCCTTCTAATGTTCAATTTTCAGAAGGCCATGTACCTATTTTTAAATAAATATTATTATCCCTATCCATAACGACAAGGTCGCTCTCCCACGCTTATGGGTACTTCTGCGTCACGCTGGAATGCCCGAAAACTGGATCAACTGCCTCCGCGCGCTGTTTGAGAGAGTCACTACCCGAGTGACATACCGCGGCACTCTCTCGTCTCTATTCCTTAGAACGAATGGCATCCTACAAGGCTCAATCGTCGGCCCCCAGCTCTTTATTATCTACATGGATTCCTTAGCTGTCACGCTAGCACAATTTCGGCCCAAGCTCCTCCGTTCTTATTTATTTGTCGATGACACACGGATCCAAGCCCCTCGATCGGTTTCGCTCCAGCCCTTCTTAGATGACATTGATGCGTGGGGACGCAAATCTGGCCTCGAACAGGGTGTCATTAAACCCCGAGTACGATCTACCGACTTGCGACACGCGGCGCCAACCCTCCGTATAAATGGTGAGCTTATCACGCCGACGCTTGCAGACGCACCTCGGAACACACGTTACCTCCCCCTGAAACTGGCGCCCACACATGCCGAACCGGAACACTCCAAATACCTGGGGTTCCCACTCTCTCACGGAGTACCAGGAATCAACCTCGCTAGACATATGGAATCCCTGGTTGCAGCATTGTCACTGGGTATCGCCTCTTTCCGGGCTTATGGCTTCCATGGCTTCAGCTGGCGACACCCCCGCAACCGACTGGTGATGTTCAAAACATTCATCCTATCCACGGCTACATATGGGCTGAACATTATTGCCTGGGCTCCGCCTATATGGAAGGATGCGTTGGACCCCCTATTCGAGCGCTTTAACTCAGCACTCATTCAAGCAGCAGCCGTCATCACGGGCACTAAATACCCTCGGTTTCCCAAACATCAAACAAA